TGTCAGCCGATTTCCCTACCGCGAATCCAACAAGGGACCTCATGAATATTAAGATGTCGGAGTAGTGCGATAAGCACGGTCTGACGTTCGTAAAACACTCGCTGCGGTTCATGCAGTGTCCACGCATATGCTAAAGTACCTTATACAATCAGATGAATGACTCGAAAAGAATACATATGGTACATTAACGAATTTAGTAACACATTATTTTCGAATGATCAAATCAAGGAGGGTGAGGTGGGCAGGGCAGGTAGCAAAAATGGGGAGAAGAGGAATGCAAATAGGATACTGGTGGAAAAGCCAGAAGGAAAGAGCCAGTGGGAAGACAAAAGAGTAGATGGGTGAACAATATTAAAATCGATCTTAGAGAGATAGGATGGGATGGTATAGATTGGATTGATCTGGCTTAGGATAGGGGCCAGTGGAGGGCTCTTGTGAACACGGTAATGAATCTTCGGGTTCCATAAAATGCTGGGAAATTCTTGAGTAGCTGCAGAATTGGCGGCTCCTCAAGAAGGGCTCAGCTCCATAAGTAAGTAAGTTATTATTTTCATGGGTACCGGAGATTTCTTCCGGTGGGGGGGAACATAAATCTTCCATACAAATTTACGTTCAAACAATTTAAGACTATTTTTACTGATCGCCCTTGTCTATTCAGCACAAAAAAAATTACTTTTTAAAGGTTATATTACATTTCTATTACAATACACAAAAATTGTATTTCTATTGGTACTTTTGTATGGGTATGTAAGTTGATCTCTCCAACTGACGTTTCGGAGGAACATGCCCCGTCTTTATGATACCTTAGATATGGAGACAGCAGATTCTTGAGACAGGCACACTTTCGAAAAAAAGTTCGGGATTTTCCAACTTAAGAGAATTTCCAGTTAATTCCTTCGAGACGTGGGTAAACATCTACTAATCAGGTGGCATCTTATCCCGGAGAAGAAGAATTTTTCTAAATCCCCGCTGTGACAACATCAAAAATCTCATTTCACGGTACGTGTTTATGATAAGCCGTAGGACTTCAGACTGCTGATAAGTGCTTCTACTTGACTGTACGGGGGACATTAATCCGCATTATAATACAATTATCTGTATCCTGAAGTAACTGATGCACCATTAGAAGTGTGGAAATGTATTACAGATCAGATGTAGATATATATAATTAGATAAGATAAAGTAATATTCCTTAGAACGACGCCTTGGACCATGTACGTGTATCTGCTCATCTTCTAAGCTCCAGACTGAAATATCCAACCGTGTGTCTCCCTGGAGATGCGTCCTTCTCGAGAAGACACCACTCGCTCACCTACTCCATAATTTCTGAAATATCATTTATTAAAATTTATTCTTATTAGTTATGAGTGGGGCACGAAGTGGCGTACTTGTTTGAGACACTGTGCTACAAGCCGGAAGGTCGCGGCTTCGATTCCCGATGAGGTTACTAGATTTTTTCAATGTACCTAATCCTTCCAGCCACACTATGGCCTTCTGATCCACTCAGCCTCTAACAGAAATGAGTACCAGGAATCTTCCTGGGGGTAAAGGGCGGCCGGCGAGTATGATTGACAATCTCACCGCCATCTGTGAGCCGATTGTCTAGAAATTGTGGGAGCCTCGACGTCTCACAGCCTTATGAGCTTCCATGGCCTGTTATAGCTTCACTTTATTTACCTTTATATATGCTCTTGGTTATTCACACCTTATTGATGTGGGATACTTTCCGACGTTTTGGAGGTGCATGCTGCCTAGATCCTAAGTTTCGCAGTGTGTAGAATAGGTGTTTCGAAAGAACGACTCAGACAAGAGTGGGCAGGATGTCCCGTTAGCCAGTCGGACAAAGATTGTCCTCGACTGAGATTTCGCAGCAAGAAGACAAGCGCCTACTCACGCCAGGGTAATTACTATACGCGAGCCTACATACCGACCGCCTCTGCGGTCTAGCGATCAGAGTTCCTGGCTACAGATCCATAGGTCCTGGGTTCGATTCCCGGCGCTACCAGATATTCTGAGAAGTAGTGGGTCTGGAAAGGAGTGCACTCAGTCTCGTGAGGGTAACTGAGGAGCTATTTCAAGGAAATGACGACTCCGGTCTAGAAAACCGAGATTAACGGCCGTGGGGATTCGTTGCGCTGACCACGAGACACCCTCTATCCGCAAAAGTTGGCACTAACTTCGCCGACAAGCGGCGGATACTCAGTCGGGATAATTCGCTTGCGGACTAAAAGCCACGGAGTTCAGTTTTAATTTTAGAGCCTACATACCATTAAATAACTGTCCCTTCCATTGCGTATAATATGCATAGAATGAATCATAGTCAAACGTGCTGTAGCAGACTCCAAAGGGAGAGATCTGAGGGGAAAAGGCGGACAAATTGAAAGATGTTTCCACCCAGAACCATTCATTTCCATTCGTCACGAGCGATTAAACCGGGTGGTTTGTTCCATCCTATTAATTATGATTCTGTAAAATCACACAATGAAGAGTACTACTAATATTACGGGATGTGACGCCGTATAGCCTGGTAGAAATTCACTGACGTTTCAGAGGAGTATACTGCCTCCATCTTAATGGTCGAGAACTAAACCAAGCAAATAATCAGACTCTGAATGACGCCGTGTAGGTCTAATGTAAGCTGACGTTTCGGATGAATGACGATTTATACACAAGATCTACACGGCGGCACATCCCAGACGACCGCATTCTTCATAGTTACCGCCTTGAAAACCTCAAATTTTACAACCAGACCTGTTTGGTATATTTCTTGCTGTCTTGACTCACTTCTCACACTGAAGATGGAGCCAGTGCGTTCATCTGAAAGGTCAGTGAGCATCTACCAGGCTACACCGCGTCACATAGAAGAACATAATACTGTTCATAGTCATCGCTGTGGGAACCTCAAATCCAATAAAATCAAATCAGATTTCATTCGGAGATATAAAGTTGTCCCTTGGCTTAACGCGCACTTAGTTTGTTGCCATATCCAGGCTTTTCCAAATCCGGTGGGTTTTACCGACAAGATAAGAGAATGCTGCAGACTCACACGTGTAGGGCCTACGTAACATTATCAAGGAACCTCTGGTAGTTAACTGACAGAAATATATTGTCACCAGATTGAGTGACTACAGACGGGGTTTGTACTGGTAATTGAATTTAATGAACATTTTAACAGATCATAACTACAAGCATCTATAGCGCTGTCGCTAATTCACACACTCTGCAGTTCAGCACAGCACGCACTAAATCCCCTCAGACTGCTCTGTCTTCACCAGTGGACGTTCCCCTGCTCCCCGGTTCTCGCCCTCGCAGGCTGGTGGCCATCTCACACCAATCTTCTACTCTTCTAACTGCCGTCTCAAGACTCAAGACTCTAATCAAGTCAAAGTCAAAGTCACATTGCGACTGACGGTCAGTCAATCTGTCTATCTTGGAGTCGAGCCCCGACTGGGGCTCATGACCAGATTTTTTTTTTCTTTATATGAAAGTTACTGTCCTGTTCATTTGGGGCGCCCTCTCTGACGAGAGGTCGGGTCTGTCATTTGTCAGTCAGTCTGTATTAATATGTCCACTGTATGTATTTACATTAATTTACAATACACACTTCTTTCTTACTTTTATGCACAATACATACAAGGCCTCTGTCAATCCAGGCTCGGTACAGCAGATTATGCCCTATTTCTAATAGTATACGCTACCACAGTAACCTAGTCACTTGAACGGTCGTATGCCTGACCGCCGCCAAGTTTAAGCCTCTTATACTTTCTATGTCGGGCTTCGCCTTGTCCGATGTTGCGAACATTCTCATTATCATGATTTTGTATGACTTCTGCTTGTTGCCTGCATAATTTTGTTATAAAGTCATATACCTACGGGATTTTGAATGCCATGTGCAAATCGCGGACCGGTGTGCGCCTTGGAAAATTGCCGATGGTGCGGAGAACCTTGTTTTGCAGGCGTTGCAATTTCACTAGATGGGTGTCTGCCGCTGCTGTGTGGCTGCTTATCTCGCGGTTGCTGCCTATCAATGGGTCTACCCAGAGTAATGGAAACGTCCGCTGTTGGAAGCCGTTACCAGGCAACGATTGATGTAGGCATAGCAGATTGTGAAGACATTGTACGTGGTGTAGTAAACTGCAGACTCTGTGAATTAGCCATAGCGCCATAGTTACTTGTATTCATGATCTGTAAGTGGCCAATAAATTTAGTTACCAAACCAAACTCCGTCTATATTCACTCATGCAGGTCACAACATTTTAAAGGGTGTATTAAACAGTTTATATACGTTTAATTTCCTTTCAATGTGGGTTGTGTGACAATACTTCCTCACATCAAAACAAAGCACGATGCCAGTTTCCTAAACATTACTGGATGTCCTGGATTTGTAGAGGCGAGAGCAGCGGTTGGAGAAAGGTAAAGTACACTGCGCCATCTTAGTTACAAATAATCACTTACATAAATAAGTGGTCAACTTCAGTGGATGGAACTGGATAAGAATGAGAATAATCCAGGGCTAGCTTCCGTTCATGCAACGGGTTAACAGTCAATAATTCAATTCTATTCATTTTATGCATTCACCAATGGCCCTACAGCCCTCTGTTGGGTCCTGGCCTCTTCTTCAATTTCGTTATCTCTTTTACACAGACGGTAGGACTCCTTAGACGAGTGATCGGCCCGTCGCAAGGCCGCTACCTACACACAGATATCTATGCTTTGAGTGGGATTCCAACCCACGATCCCAGCGTTCATGCCTTACACCGCGCGACCACTTTGATCGGCAATTCAATGCTATAGGAACCTGAAATTTCCCAGTAACAATGACAAATCTGTATTCTGCATACATAAAGATATTTAGGCCACATACTGCCCCTGATCTGGTAGCGGATATTAAAAGGATAACGTTACATTTTATAGATATCAATGGATTGATTACTGTCACGTGCTACAGATAAGCATTTATATTAATAAGCGTCTGCCTGATGGCGTCCCATTGCTGAACAATGCGTCTCATATTCCTGGCAGCTCTGTTAGGCGCCGCTCTGGCGTCACGGGTGTCGTACGAGGGGTAAGTGAAAGGAGCAGGTTGTGGCTTAGCGTTAGATACAAAAAAATCTAGTGTTTTTTCTTATATAGATAAAATATTTTGCATTAAAATTGTATGAATATTTTTATAAATGGAAAAAACGTAAACGTTTCCCTGTGACCGGATGTGGTGGCCCATAGGGTTGTGAGACGTCGAGGATCCCACTTTTGTTCGACAATCGGCTCATAGATGGCGATAAGGTTGTCAGCCTTACGCCCCGGCCGTCCTTTAGCCCCAGGAAGATTACTGGTATTCATTTCTATTAGGGGCTTAGGTGACCCCAGGGTCATAGCGCGACTGGCAGGATTAAGTCAAATGAAAAAAAATATATATATTTTTTTTAGTTGTGGTGAAATGATAAATGAATGTCGAGAAATTTGTGGAATGAAAATTGGAAATTGCATTTGGAGAAAACCTATTGCAGTGCCACTTTATTCATCACAAATTCAACGTGATCTGAGCTGGGATTCAACCCGGGCCCCACCTGTGGGTAATCGGCAAACTAACCGCCTGAGCTATGGCACTGCCATCTTCCTTTGTTTACTGCTCATTCTTAAAACTTTCTGTTCAATCTTTAACGTAGGCAATTCATCCAGATAACATATGAAATATCAGTCCCTACCTCACAGGAAACACGAAACAAAGACCTACCGATCAACGCTGTTCTGGGATATAATAGCCATTTATTATGAGAAATGAAGAAATATAGGAAACACAAATACAGTCAGTGAACAAAATACAGAGTATTTTAATGTTAAAGCGTGTGGTAAGCATAGTAACCACCGTGTTTCAAATGATTATAAACCTGTAACGGAATCCAGTAATTATTAAGGTTTTAAATGATGAATGATAATTCTTTTGACATAAAAGCATGACATTTACTAAATAGAAGTTAAAATTGCTAATTATTTAACAGATACAAGGTGTTGCGCTTTAATCCCACCGAGAGTCAACTACGGCTCCTAGAAAAGTACAGAAATAGTCCAGGGTTCGACTTCTGGAAAGAACCGCGCAAATATGGCGACAATCTGGACATAATGGTGTCTCCTGACCGACAGCTTCCGTTCCTGTCTTTCCTGAAAGACAATAACATTACATTCAAGGTTATCAACGACAACGTTCAGACGTAAGTAACAACATCTCTCTGTATAATAAAACTGTAATGATGCTGCGTGAGTTTATGCTAACACAGTGCGACGACAGAGCTTTACACGCACTGGCTACATATGGTACTAATTCTGCCGATAGATGGATCTGTCAAAGCGCATCTCTGCTTGTAAAATCTAATTTATATTTCTTTGATAATGACTGATATACTTGAGTTGTGTTTACGCTAATCGGGGGCCCTAGAGTCCAGTAATTATTTCATATGGAATGTTGACCAATTTTCTAATAAAGGAACAGGAACGTTCAACATTGGTAACACAGGCGCTGTCACTGACACGACCTTCAATCCATCCATCCCCCATTTCTCATAAACTTACTTCAGTATGTCCCACACTGTTAACTATCTTCATGTCATGATTTTGCCCTGTATTCTGGTGACGAGGCAGCAAGATATATTTAACACGAAACACAAAAACACATCGTGTGGGCAACATGCCAAGATTTGGAATGTTGAAGCAAATGGTACATACAGTCATGAATGCAAATGCTAAAGTAACATAAAACATCGTCTACTTCACAGCAAAATTTATTTTCGTTTTACAAAGATAAGAAATGAAGCTGAAATTGGTCTGTAAATTGTGATGTGCCCAAATCCGATACTGAATTTCACGTAACAAGACTTTGTGATATTTCTAGCCTCGAGTCACGTGTGCGGTTACGCAAGTAGTAACGTTCCTAATGAAATTGAAATTTCTTCAGGTCAATTGACGCTGAAATCAGACGTCAAGCGGTAACTCCTAAAACCCCTCGAGCCGTCTCATTTGACCAGTACTACAGACATGAAGAGGTAAGTGACGAAATAGAGAATACGTACACTACTTCTAAAGAGTTCTGTGTCTTTTCTATTCCATCCATCACAACAACTCACTTATACAAATATCATGTTCTTGGGCATTATCCATCAACTTTTATTTATCTAAAAACGGTCATGTTTATTTTTCAAAACACAACGTTTCTGAGACTTGATTCTGTCTCCGTCTTCAGGTAAAACCTACTCAGTTGGGACCTATTTCCGGAGATAGGGACTTTATATCGGTTGAGTCAAACTGAGTAGGTCTTACCTGAAGACGGAGACAGAAGCCAGTCTCCGAAACGCTGTGTTTTGAAAAATAAAGTGGACGGGTTTTAGATAAACACAAAACGATGGATAATGTCCAAAACCATAATATTTGTACTAATGTAACCTCGTGATAAACTTTTAGATCTAAGACAATTAGAAATAAACAACTAAGGCACGAATTTATTGATGAAATCAGTTTTTGCATTTACTAATAAGACATGCTACATCATTATCTCACATCATCATCTGCAGTCTGGTAAAAGCTCGCCGATGCTTAGGAAGAATATTCGGCCTCCATCTTCAGGACTCAAGTGCGAGTTGAAAAAGAAACCAGCCTTAAGCAGATAAAAACAGAGCGTCATTCTGGTTTCTTTCTTGACTTAATATAAGGCCCTGTAGATAGAGGCGATATGTCCCGCCGAAACGTCGGTTGACTTCCACCGGATTATTTTCATCTCCAGATCAACAGCTACCTACAGGAGCTGGCCGAGAAATATCCGGACCTAGTTAGCGTGGAATCTCTTGGGGTCAGTTATGAGAACAGAGAAATGTTGGTAATCAAGATATCATCGGGGGGCGGAGGACATCGGCCGGCGGTGCTTGTGGACGGCGGGATCCACGCCAGGGAGTGGATAGCCCCAGCGATGGCTCTTTACATCATCAACCAACTTGTGGAGAACAATGCTGCTAATAGTGACCTTACAGACAGCGTCGATTGGTTTATCGTGCCTGTGCTCAACCCAGACGGCTACGAATATTCCCACACCACTGTAAGAAACACTTATATCTCCCGCAGCTTACACTAGATGGTGCAGAACAAATGCGTTGACATTTAAATTGATCAAACTGTGCATTATCCTTTTTGAATTATGAAACTTAACTCTATCATTCGTAATATATTTATAATGATAATTAGAAGAACGGAACATACTCGTATGCATGGGAGAGGTGAGAATTGCACAGATAATTCTTGCCGAAAAACTTAAGCAAAAGTCCACTTGCAAGACCTAGACGTAAGTGGAAGGAGAGTAAAGCGTATTGTAGACGATAAGAGTGCGAGAGTGTGGACTCGATTTCTGTAGCTCTGGACAGGAACCAGTGGCGGGTTCTTGCCAGTACGGCAATGAACCACCGGGAACCGCAAAATGCAGGAAACTTTGTGACTAGCTGAGAGACTCTTAGGTTCTCAAAACGGCCACTACTCTATGGAGTTAGCTTGTTAAACGGTTGGTTGAGTAATAAAGAGTTAGTAAAGAGACTGGTTACTTATATCAGAGCACTCACGCTGCATACAAAATTTAACCCTTCAAAGAGAGAGTTTTTTCTAAGAAATATACAAATATTTAGTTCGTACCTCGGCCGCGCCATAGTTAAAGCGGTTAGTCGCTGGCTTTCCACCGCGGCAGGCCGGGTTCGATCCCGGGTCTGGTCAAGTGGAATTTTTGGTGCACAAAGTGGTGCTGGGGCAGGTTTTCTCCGAGTACTTCAGTTTCCCCTGCCAATCTTCATTCCACCAATTGCTCCACAATCACCCTCACCTACCATCAGGGGCTGGTACAATGGGCCAGAAGTGGCCGCAGTACAAGGGACTTAGTCCCACCCCACTAGAAACAAAAAAAAAAAAGTCCGTATCTCACAGGAAACACATTACATCTCCGCTACAAAGTCCAACCGGTTAATGCTGTTTAGGGAAACAGTCGCTGTTTATTGTGAGAACCATACGGAACATACAAATACACTCTGTGTGCAAAATTCAGAGTTTTAGTATGTTAAACCAGGTGGTACGTATAGTAACCACTGGACGTTAAAACTAATTATAATATGCTGAAAAGGTTTAGATAGCAGACAAGAAGAGTGAATATTTCGAACTGGATGTCTGTAAGCACTCTCCGAAATAAACTACTCTACATTTCTTCGCGAATGCAGTAATATCTATACAATAAGTAATATTCTGTATTTCAATCTACATTTATGAGCCGCGATAGCTCAGTAGGCATAGTAACATAGTGTGGACTGGAAAGATTTGGATTCGATACCGGGTAGGAAAAACATGCCTAACTTAAAGGAGCCAGAGCGGCTCTGGGCCACAGTTGTTGTTCATCGAAACGGTGTCAGGGTGCCTCTTCCTGAAGGTAAAGCGACCCAGATGGCCCTATCTAGTACCGAGATAAAGAATGCGTGAAGCGATACCTCCACTCCCCCATACACGTTCATTGCATGGTGTTTAATTAATTAACAAAGGGAACATTTACATTCTAAGTTTAATAGGACCTACATTTTACGAGTAATAGAGAAAAGAAACAATCTATTACTGCTTTTACTTCCATGCACATGTGTTTAGGTAGAGGCCTTGCGACGAGCTGATCACTCGTCCAAGGAGTCCTACAGTCTGTAAAATGATCAAAATGGAAAAAAAAAATCTCCACACCGTAAGGTATAAGAGGGACGGATTAAGTAAGTAAGTAAATTTTCTTCTTGAAAGTTCAATTAACAAATAAGTCCAGCTAGTCTAAGTGTAACCTGCAAAATTCCGTTTATAGGATCGACTATGGAGAAAATCGAGGTCACCGATAATCACGATTACAGGTGTATGCAGAGGTGTGGATCAAAACAGGAATTTCGATTTCCACTGGATGGGTAAGTTGCTCGTCCTTCCAGATACTCGTATGTTGAGTTCTGGAGATGTCAAGTAAAAAGTAAGTAAAGATATCCTTGTAACAGGCCGTGAAGGCCCAAAGGGTTGTGAGAAGTTGAGGGTCCCACATTTTCAAAACAATCGGCTCATAGATGGCGACAAGGTTCTCAGCCTTGCGCTCCGGCCGCCCTTTACCCCCAGAAATGTTCCTGGTACTTATTTCTGTAAGAGGCTGAGTCGGCCCCAGGGTCATAGATACTTCCGGAAGGATTAGGTCAATTGAAAAATCCAATGACCTCGTCGAGACTTGAACGCGCGACCTTCCGGCTTGTATCATAGTGCCTCAACTAACTATGCTACCGCGTGTCCCAGTTCTGAAGATGACAGAACCATTTATGTGAATTTGAACCAACAGTACAGATGGGCCCAATATCCGTATATGAGGAACTCCCTAATAGAATAGATTTATATTCAGATATTCATTAGGATACACATGTTTAGCTCTGAAAAGCTTCTTAACATCGATTTTCGTTCGCCTGATTCAGAGATCGGAGCCAGTGATTATCCTTGTGACGAAATTTACGGCGGGGAAGAACCACTCTCCGAGATTGAGAACCGTAATTTACGTGACTTTGCAACTCTTCACAAACAACACATCAAACTGTACCTCACTTTCCACAGTTACGGTGAAGTAAGTATCACAGATCCTACTGTTGCGTCATCTTACTTTGTAATTTACTGCGATACTTTGTACGCCTTGTATATGTTGTATATAAATACATTAAATAACTTGTAAAATGTAAACTGTACGTACTGACAGCAGACTTATTACCACTGACTGTGACTCTGGCAAACGACAGACCCATCCTCTCGTCAGAGAGAGCGCCCCACATCAACGAAAATGCAACTGACAGCAATAAAGATCTGATCTTGAGCCCCAGATGGGTGCTTTGTTCCAAGGGAGACTGGCCAACTGACCGTCGGTCGTAACATAAATTTCAGTGTGACTTTGACTGACTTGCGAAGAATTGACTCCTGTGTGGAGGCGAGTTCGAATACCTCCATCGTAGCCCTGCGAGTCGTATGAGGTGACGAAAATGGAAGTCTTGAATCTGAGACAGTAAAATGTGGTCGCAATTACCATGGGACTCGGGACTCGGACCCGAGAATGACTGCGCTGGCGAGCACCAGCAGCAATTGTAAACAACAGATCCGTCCTCTCGTCAGAGAAAGCGTCCCACACCAACAAACCCGCAGTTTCCTGACAGTAATAAAAATCTGAAACTTAGCCTCAGAGGAGTGCTTTATTCCAAGACAGACTGGCCGACTGACCGTCGGTCGTAACATAAGACCCAATTTAGTCGGTTGTGGGATATTCACGAACCGGTAAGGACATAAACGGAGGACTGTTAGGATCCGTTACCAGGAAACGGCTAGTGAAAACAAACTGAGAAGACATAGTATGTGCTGCAGTGAAAAGACAAGTGCATGAATTAGCAAGAACGTTATAATTACTTGTGGTTATCATCTGTATGTGGTCAGTAAATCCAGTTACCAATACAACCCCCGCCTATAGTCACTCATACATGTGACGTTATACAACCCGCATAAGCACAATAGGCCACTGTAGGTCGCGGTGCAAAGACCGAGAAGGCCCACCCCTTATAAATTCACTACAAGCTGCATTCCATTTTTAATTGTAAATTCCAATTTTAAATACAGCATACACTGAATTTCGGAACGAAGAAGGAAGAGTAACGTAAGAGATAACATTTAGTTGTATTTTGCAGTTAAGCTGCTTGCCTTCTTTCGCATTCACTTCTAAATAAAGGCCTCGCCATAGCTCAAGCGGTTACTCGGTGGCTTCCCACCGCGGCCTAGGTTCGATCCCGGGTCCGGTCAAGTGGGATTTGTGGTGGACAGGTTTTCTCCGAGTACTTCGGTTTCCCCTGCCAATCTTCATTCCACCAATTGCTCCACAATCACCCTCACCTATCATCAGGGGGTGGTACAATAGACCAGAAGTGGCCGCAGTACAAGGGACTTAGTTCCACCGCACTAGCAAAAAAAGAAAACTTCTAAATAAACTCTGTGCATAATATATTCATTTCTGTAACTGTGTATATTTGCTTGTTTCTTGTAGTGTAAGCATTACAAATTTATACAGCAGGCCAAACCTACTGGGTTTGCTGACGTACCTCATTTAGTCAGAAGCAACGAAACCCTCCTTGACACTTTGCACGTTCTCCACAATTTTAACAGTTCTCTACAGATGGTTGCATAATTTCCTGGCGAATTTAGTGTTGCACTACGAAATAATATGTCACAAAATAGGGCAGTTTTACTCTACATTTACTGCTATTATTATGGAACTTCAATCTCACATTGTCTTACGTATCTCTTTGCAGTACCTCCTGTATCCATGGGGATACACATCAGAACTTCCATCAGACTGGGAGACACTGGTATGTGTTTAGTCTCTTCATTTTAAGCTTTCTTACTTTTATATCCTTCCCTCTCGTCTCCTATATTCCTTTCCAGGCTCTATTATTTGCCCGTCCTAGAGCCATTTCTCTCCCCTTTCCCTCCTCTCTCTCCTTTACGTTAGGAGAGTTGAGGTGAACGCCGTTCAAGATATGCCTCTATAAGCTGGTCACTTTGCTTCGCCGCGTTCTTTATACGTACCGAAATGTTGTCAATGTTGTGTAGCAGATCACTTGCATCTCGTTGCCTTGGAAACGGGGTGACAACGACGTAATGATGAACACTGTCTCGCTTTGAAGATCTATATCTTCTGAGATACTGAGCCGTGTAGTCTCGTGTGAGTTTACTGTCTCCATCGTCAGGGTCGAGCAAGCGGGGTAATCTTGCTCGTTGCTGCTTCGCTAACTTTTCCACGCTGAACACTGAGGCAGAACGCTCCTTCGAAAACCGGTTAACTTCTGTCTGGCTGCATAGTGTAGTATTCCAGAAGATAGTGTCCAAAGAAAATCCCTTGTTGCCTGCCTGACATGATTACCGGATTATGTTAGCATAGCTGCATTAATTCAGTCTTCTCGGTTATGACACCGTGAAGTCTGATACGTGGATATCAATATTATGGAGTAACGAACTGCTTTCATCTTCAGGGTCCTAACCCAGATCACATATGAATCTTAATTAACCATAGTGAAAACTTCTTAGATTAGTTTTTCACAGACTTGTCTCTGAGCAAATTGGGAAAGCGATTGCGGAACCAAGT